AGGTACACTGCCATAGACTCCACCCTCCAAACCAGTCAGTCCCTGGAGAGCACTCAGTATTACAACTGCTCTGCAGAAGGGAGGGCAGAAGTCAGCTGAAGTCAAAGGGGCAGATAATGGTAGGTTGATGGCTAGCTGGGAACCCACTCCAGGGCCGGCGCCTGGAGGTGCAAGCCTCCGGCCGCCGGGTCCGTTTCCACCCCCCACTCCAGGACCACAGACAGGAGGCAGAAGCCTCCGGTCCCCCGCTCCCTTCCCCTCCCCCACCACCCACTCCTGGGCCGGCAACTGGAGGCCGGGTCCCTTCCCCCCCAGTCACTCCAGGGCCAGCAACAGGATGCAGAGGCCTCCGGCCGCCGCTGCCATTCCCCCACCCCCTCCCACCCTCACCCACTACTGTTTACCTTACCACCATCCAGCCTATGTGTTCGTTACAGACCACATCTTTCTAGATCCCGTTGTATCGGTTTCACAACGGGCTTTTCTGCTAGTTTGCTATAATGTAATCTTTGTACTACTGTATCTGAACGGTGTGAAAATGCTTCTGTGATGAATATCAAACTCCAAGCACACAAGCAAGAAACATGTTTTTTCTCTCTTTGATTGTTGGTGTATTTTGTGCACTGTGAAGTGTTACTAGGAGATGAGAGCCAGCGTGGTATAATGGTTAGAGTGACAGACTAGGATCTGGGAGACCCAGGTTGAAATCCGCACTCTGCCACATACACTCACTGAGCGACCTGGGGCCAGTCACACCATCAGCCTGTTCTACCTCACAGGAGATTGTTGTGATGAGAAATTGCCGCAGGGAGAACAATGTGGTAAACTGCTTTGGATCCCCCACTGGGGAGAAAAGTGGGGTATAAATAAAAAATAAAAGATGAGCTACCTAGGGATCAATTGTGTCCTATGTAGATAAAAAGTACACATTACATTATTTTGCTTGAAGATTCTGTTGATGAATCTGGTACGGCCAGACTTCCAATATGTGATGACATACTACTACATAACTGTAAGCTTTACTGCATTGTTTGAATCCTGCTTCTTCCAAGTTAAGTCCATCATAACACAGACAGCAGGATAACAGAAAGGATTATGCCGTGCATTTAAATAACTTGTCCTTTCAGTAACTATTGTTTTTAACCATGAAGAAGAAGTCATGAAATGGACTACATTGCTCGGCACCATTTCTAAACAACCCAGCTGTTTGTGTTCCAGTTTGCATGTCTGTATTCAATTCTGACTGTGTTTGCAAATAAAGATAATCCTTTTCAGTTGCAGAACTGCAACACGGTCTAATGATGTAATTAGGCAGGAACATTTGTGATCACGCAAGGAAGGGACTTAATCTAGATTTTTTAAATCACAGAGGCGGTTTTATGGTACTCTCTAGTTGCACAGTTAGTGGGGTTGGTTGTGCGCCCACCATAATAATGTCGCCAAGGCTACCAGTTGATTTTATCCTGTAACTGGTATATATTTTTATATAATAGATAACGTTGCTATGTATTTTATCCTGAATGAACAAGATTTGCTTATTGGAAAAAAGTATAATGGCAGTGTGTAGCAGCTGCTTCTAGATATTATATAGTTTGCAGTGCAAAGATCTTTTCTTGTGTAGGGTTAGTGTTACCTCCTCACACGCTATGGGGCAAGTGCAGAAGTTTTATCACTTTGTTTGCTTTATGATATGGGAATGGCAGATATGGGAAAGGCGAAATAATGAAACTGAAGCTCAAATTCTTTGGCCACCAAATGAGAAGGGAGCACTCACTGGAGAAGACCCTGATGCTGGGAAAGATTGAAGGTCAAAGAAGACGGGGCCGGCAAAGGATGAGATGGTTAGACAGTGTCATAGATGCAACGAACATGAAGTTGAGCAAACTTCAGAGGATGGCAGAAGACAGGAAGGCCTGGCGTGATCTGGTCCATGGGGTCGCGAAGAGTCGGACTATACTGTGCGACTGAACAACAACAATGGCAGATCATTCGTAGGGAGAACTGGCAAACTGAAAACTGCCAGTCACCCCCCCAGCCTTTCCTCATTTGCCCCCAGCCTCACTCCAAGACTATGTACTTGTTTACCTTAAATTTCATGTCCCAGGGCTACCAACCTCCAGGTAGGGCCTGGAGTTCTAGAATTAAAACTGATTTTCAAACTGCAGAGGTCAGTTCCCCCTGGAGGAAACGGCAGTTTCGGAGGGAGGACTCTGCGTGTCCCTTCTGAGCTCCTCCCTCTCCAAACTCCATGCGGTTCCCTTAAAACTCCAGGAATTTCCCGAGCTGGAGTTGGCAACTTTAACTGTTTATGGTCTTTCCCCCCTCATAACTTCAAATAATACATGTCTGTGTAGTAAGAGCCCAATGCATGCCTTTGACAAACCGGGAACTCTTCCATGGAAGTCTATGTTACAATAAAAATGGGTTTCGTCTTTGGTTACAAGTAGTCTTTAGTTACAAGACATCTGTTTATTTTTGCTGGAATAAACACAGCTACTTGTCCGGAATTGTTATGCAAGACTTGGAAGTATCTCTAGCTGCGAGGGAAAAAAAATGATAGGATGCCACTGGTGGAGCAGAAACAACAGAGGCAACAGAGAATTTCCTCTTGCACACTGGTTCGTTCTCCCCCCGCAGATGCCCTCTGATCTCCATCCAATGGCAGACGAAGGTTTGGGAGCACACATTTGCTGAAGTAATGCATAATTCTTCCCAGCCACTGAAACTAATTTGAATATTTCAGTAAATTGATATATGCAAATCGCCATTGGTTAGCTTTTATTGCAGAACAGACAGGACCAGTTCTGTCTCCTTTTCTATATTTGTATCCTGGTGGTTTGAAGAGAAAGCCAGCAATGGCCAATCAGAGCCTTCAGAAGGAGAAG